GATATATCATTTTAACTATGGGTGAATTCTAGACAACAACACTATTTAATTTGCTGTCACAATTAAGTGATTTATACAAGTGACTATACTATTAGTATCATACTAATACTCTGACATTCTCTTGTTGCTTCTACAAGAGCAGTATTGTTATTTTCTGTGCTTTAGCACATCTTAGGAACAGACTGGTATGAGTCTTGTTCTTAGAAGCTATGTCACAATTATTTTTACAATCCATTCCATTTGCATGTTGTCTTTCATCTGACAGACCACCATGAGCAACTGAAAAACTCCTGCATAAACTAGAGTGAGCTTTATGGCAATTACTGCTTTCTTTACTGATCCATGGAAATAATTTCTGCAGCCATTACAGTAATGCAAAGCTTCTGCTGCTCACAGGGTGGATCGGTTGATGGATGATACCATCCACAGGCGCTGTCATGGTCATGATCTATGTAGAGCTGTTATTTGACAAATGAAAATTATGTAAACAGTACTCAAACTCAATCTTGCCTCATGACAACTCTGTCTGCTCCACACCCCCTGGCTACAATGTCCAGTACAGCCAGCTGTTATCTCATGATAAATATTGGGGATAAAATTATCATTAGACAGCACCAGGTTGACTGCATGATGTAATCCTGACTCTTTTAGGTAGCTGGAGCCCTTTTAGCTGTCCTAGGTAGTCTGAAGCTATTCTGGACACGTATTTCACACATTCCAAGAGTGTCATTCTCATTTCAGTGGTTGTTGAAATAATTTCTGGGTAATTTTTGCAAAGAAATGTAGGATCTGCTAGTTTTAAAGGTACTGAGTATATGAAAAGTATTGCTGTTCAAGATCAAGCACTCAAGAAATCATTTTCAGCAACGGCCTTCTGTAGGTGTGACTTGCCTCACTTTTGCCAGGCTCTGCAATCTCAGCAGTAGCCCCATTCTGAAATTCTCCCCCAGCACCAAGGGAGCTCCTTTCTCATCCCAGCCTATGGATCTGCCTCCTTCCCCAGCTGCACAGTAGCTTAGAAAACACAAATGACACAGCATAACAATGTCCTACAATGGCTGGAGTACTCCTCTATTTATAGGTTGCTAAATCTGACTAAAAAAAAAAACAACCTTCCAAAGAGCTCCAGTCAAATTGCTACCTAGTTTTTTCCAGGCCCAGCCAGAGTGTGCTGGCTTACAGCCATGTGTTTAAATTCCACCCTGCACACTGAGCTTTCACAGGAAAATATGCTAGTGCTCATAAGTGGGCACTTACTATTTACACAAACATTAACGAGCATTCCCATATTGTTTCTTTACTAAGTTGCAAATGCAAGAAAACAAAACAACAGCATGACCTGACAGTCTCAGGCTTGCAAAGACATCCAGCATTTCCATTTCTGATGTGCAGCTGAGTGCAGTTCACATAGAGGGAACAATTTGGTTTCAAGCATTATGTTTATTTTTTTCTTAAAAGACTGTGTTTTTTCCAGATGAATTCTACATTAGGAAAAAAAAAAAAAAGAAAAAAAAAAAAGTTTAATCAACAACTAAATAGTTAGTTTAGAGTGGTTCTGCAATGCCTGATGGGCTTAGCCTTCCTCTTACTCATGCAACAAATGAAGAGATGTCCCATACAATAAAAGCAAACCTTTTAGACTTGTTTCTCAGAATAAAAAAATACTACTACTCGTTATTCTAGGGAGCACAGAAAAGGGACCAAAGCACAGAAGAGTCAGAATCCCCTCACCTTCCTTCAAAATATGAGCATATAAAATGAGAACTTCACAGTTTCAACTCTGAGAATGCTGTTCAGTTCTCACCTAATCCTGGACATGTCTGAAGTCCTCAGCTGCTCAAACTTTAACCTCAGTCTTCCCTGCAAACCTGATGTCCCATTTCTGTCCATGTGCAGAAGCAGTTGGGTTTTGGTCATGTCTGGCAGGCCCATACCTATGTCAGGCTGAGATCTAGAAACCAGGAGATAAACCAGCCAACCTCAGCTGCAGCAGCCTTAACTCCGAACTGTGGACAGCCAGGTTCAAAGCTGTGCTTCCACCTTGCACCAAGCAGTGACAAAGCCTCTCTCCACTGACTGCAGAGAGTGCCAGCCAGGGAGACCTGACCTCTGGGGCTAAAGCTAGTTTTTGAGAACAGCCCCAGATGTGCTCCTCTACCTGCTTCCCCAAAGGCCCCAATTCAGTAGTATTTTCTGAGCACTGCCTCTGCCCGACTCTGTTTAAATGCAGTGGGAACCGCTTGAAACCACCAGGAGGTAGATTTCTGCCATCCCTCCTCCTCCTTTGACAGAGCAGCCCTGTGGAGAGAGCACTCACACAACCCCGCTTCACCCACATCCCCATGACCTTGCTGTGACAGTAGTAAGGGGAAGAGGAGCACTCCGATATTTTCTGTCCAGAGGAATGTGCTTAAAGGCAGCTCTGCTTCACGTACCTGATTTATAACAAGGGTCAGGATAATTCCCAAGCAGCTGCCGCATCAGGGAGCAAACTAATTCCTTTCCTCTCTCCTTGGCTGCACAACCCAGAGCCCAGCTGCACCTGAGGTTCCAGCTCATAGTCTATATTCTGCATCATAAAAGATACAAGAGAGAAATCTAAACTAGAGAAGTAATAACCTGTAAACAAATAAACCAACCCAGCACTTTGATAGTGAGGCACTCCCAAGAGCAGGGATTATTGATGGATGTCCTGAAACACTGTGTGTCTAGTTTTCGAGAGAAGTGGGAAACATTTCTGATGCTCTGTGGATCTTACGCATCTGCTCTATAAAATCAGTTCAGATAAATGCAAAGATTGTTATTAAAAGCAGCCTCCTTCCAGTCTACACACACAGAGGCACTTAAGCAGTTTAAAAAGAAGAGTAGTAAGAAACTGCTCAAATAAGTAATAATAAAGGTATAAAGCTGCAACATTATGGGTAGTTTTTCTTGTCAAATATGGGGCTGTACAGTCATTGATTTTCTCTGGTAATTGAGATAGTGACATGCATGACTTATGTTTCTTCAGCAGCGAGTGCATGGATGTGGAAGAAGGGATCCTGAAATCCTGCAGAATCTCCAGCTGAGGATTTGATGGCTCTGAACTGCTGTCTGTCTCAATTCTTTATTTCCCTTGGACCGTAAAATGGGGTATATTAATAATCTGTTATGTCAAAAGACAGTTTATGAAGCTAAATGTAATAACGTTTGCAATGTGATTAGGAAACTTTGGAGGAGAAGTGCTATAGATAACGGGAGCCTAAGTACAGATACATGTCTTTCTCAGCCAGAAAATGCTGGGAAGCAGGTGGCAGGCAGACAGATCCCTCGGGAAAGATCCCATTATCTGCTACAGTGTGTATTCTCAAATCTCCATCCCCTACCTCAGTCACACAGACAATAGGAGCCTTCTCCTTAGTTCATTTTTTTTTAATGCATTTACTTTCAGTGATGAAGATTCAGTGCTCAGTTACCTCCTGCTGACTGCTTCTCAAGTTTGCTATATCCCACCTCAGCTCCATACCAAAATGAGACATTCAACTGATTGAAAGTGTTAAAGATAACTCTTTCGTCCCAAACGAATGTAAAACAGTGGCGTGTAGTGTTTCCATGTAAACCTGAACTAGAGTGGACTTTCTTTGTCCTCCCATCATGTAAAAAATAAAATGGAGGCTGGCAAGGATGGCAGGAAGAATCTGATCCTTTGTGTTTCCTGAAGTAAAATCATTCTCTGGAGAAGGCAGAGCAGGAATAAACTTTATGAGTCAGGAGGCTTTACTGACAAGAGCTGCTATTATCTCCGTCAAACAGGCAAAGCCTCGAGTGATTGTGGCAAGCAAGAAAGAGAAATGTTGTTCTTTCGCAGTGTTGGAAAACAGACTATTTGCCAGATTGCAAGGAGTGCCGAAAAGGTATCAAGCCTCTCTGAATTAACCACAAGAATAACCTGCTGAATGAAAAGCTTTTCCGTGGACCTCTGCTGCTCTCTAATGGTGCCTTAAAGGATTCTCAGCACAAAGTTTACGTGCTCTTCCTGTAGCAAAGTTTTGTTAAAACTTTTAACGCAAAATAAAAAAAATATTAATGAGGTCCTTAAGAGATGTTACCTGAATAGATAACCCACAACTCAGGCAGCTATTGCTTCAGCCACAACCAGAATATTTTGTGTGTGGTGCAAAAGATGGTAAAGGAGAGTTAACATAGAAATGAAGGCTTGGAGTGTGTTTTAGACAAGAGCAATTGCACAAGCCTGGAAGGTTGCAAACCTCTGTGAGACCCCAATTTTCAGAGCTTTGTATAAATTAGTATACAAAATTACTATTCATGAGGACTAGTATTTCAAAGAAAAAAAAATAGCACTGAATTAACGTTATGCAATTAACAAATACTAATGTTTGCACATGCTGTTCACGGGATATAAAGGTTTGGTTTTGCACTCTTCTCACAGATGTCCGTGTCTCCGCTGCAGCCCCACGGACAGCTGCCATCCTCCCTCAAGCCCCATGAGGTAGCTGGACCTCGCGTGGAGGACACGCCGCTGCTTGTCCCCGGGTCAGCGATGCAGGGTGGCCTGTCCCTGTCAGGGGAGGCCCGGGCCGACATGGCCCAAAACCAGACTTATTTTGACGGGAAAGCATGCTCCGGGGCTTAAAATGTGGCCCACCACCACCCAGTGGGTAGGAGCGGTCGCATCCCATGTGGAAACGAGGGGGGAAAAGCTAACAAATGTCAAAATGAGCATCCAGCCCTTCTCCGGCCCCCAGGCTCACCCTGTCCCTTCAAGGCCTGAGCAGGGACACCGCCGCTCCCTCACGGCCACAGGTGGGGCCCCCGCCGGGTGACACTGCCCCCCGCCGCCGATGGAGCCGGCCTGAAACGGGCAGGCACCGGCCGAGGATGCCGGGCCGGGGGGAAGGGGCTCAG